ACCCCAGTGCACCTTGGTTTCCTTCTAATCCACATGCAGGCTGACATTTGTGGGGGATAAATGCCACCCCCCCTCTGCACCTGCCACTCGTTTTCAGTCTTTATCCCATCATTCCTCTTGCTGGACACTGTCCCTGATTTATGCTGTGCCACGATGGATGGAATGGATGTCTGTCTGTGCCTGGGCGGAAGATGCTGCCTGGGCCGTGCTCCCCGTGCTCTCCCTGTCACCTATGCCACTGCACAGGTCCACCCTTGTTTGCCTCACCTGGCACCATGGCATGGGCTGTGCTCGCCGGAACCCTGTCCAGGTGTGGACACTGCCCTGCCACCTGCTGCCTGGAAAGGGGCCTGGCACACCCATCCCTCTCTGGTCCTTCCTGTCACCTGCTGCGGCCCTGGCTTTGGGTACACTGGGCATTCCAAGGCACCCATGGAGTGGTGTGCCCTGTACCTGGCTGTGTCCCTGGGCACTGCCTCCTCCTCTGAGGAAACAGAGCAGCCTTCCTGCTCACGGCCACCAGGGTCCCGGAGACCACAAGGTCCCTAACAGCCTGTGAACAGTCTTGTGGAGTCCCCTCAGCCCACATGCACAGCAAGGCCCCTCATCTCAGACCCAGTGGGCTGCATGCCTGACAGGGCTTCAGGGGACAGACCTTTCCCTGTAGCTCAGTGATAGCCCTGGAGTCCAGGACAGAACCAAGCAGAGGCAGAGGGGTCCCACCTGGGACGTTTTCTCAGACTTCGGGACATCAGCCAGGCTGTCACTGGGCCCCAGTGTCAGGTTGTCACTGTGCCAGACTGCCCACCACTACCTGGGGACAAGGCCTCTCCTGTTCAGTGGCCGGGACCAAGGACAGTGCTGTGCCTACTCTGCCTGGGGGTAGATGTGCACCTGCCCATGCCAGGCCAGAGCCACGGTGTTGCCGCAGGCCACTGCACCTTAAGGAAGGGAGGTGTTCACCCATCTGATGGGGCCATGGTTGCCTGTCCAGGTTTGCGCAGACATCTCTGTCACTGTGGGACACTACACCCTGTGGGTGGTTCACCCAGCTCGAGCCTTGGATGTCCATGCACCTGACACAGGGGCCCTGATGGCACCCTGGCACCACCCTGGCATGCCCACTGGGTGGCAGGACAGTAGGCAGTGCAGCTGGTGGTTACTGGCTCCCTTAGAGCAGCTGGTGTCACACAGCATGGAGGAAGGGTGTCCCCGGCCTGGTTAGGGGACACAGGAGGTCCCGAATGCAGCCTGGTTGTCCCGGGAGGGTTTGTCGAGGGACAGAGCTCTCCTACCTCTTATTCTCGCGCTCCGACTGTCACTACCAGGCCACGCCGCTGCAGTTCTAGGAAGAGAACACCCGGGTGGCTGTCCATCACCGCCCTAGAACGCCCCTGCCGCAGCCTTGGGCTTCCTCCAGGACACATCTCACACACAGGGCGCCCAGCGGTGAGGCTGCTGCAGGGCCATGTTGAGCATCTGGCCCTGCCCCCGCCCCTATCAAAATGGCCAAGGCCCTCAGGGTCCCCCACAAGGGGCTGCCTTTTCCTGCAGGCACCCCTCCACTCAGCTCAGCCCACAGCCCAGGCGAGCGCTTTGCAGGGGACGTTCCCTTGTGCCCATGGGGCTGCTTCATGTGCTCGGAGCAGACCCTGCAGCGGCTAGACAGGCTGTGAAACCCCTCAGTACCCCAGGCCAGTACTGGCTCCCACAGCCCAGCAGCAGACCTCACAGTCCCCTCCTTCTCTTCCCACGTCCTTGGCTTTGGCCCCCACACCTGGCTGCACTGGTGCCATGTTCCAGCCACGTTCCAGCATGTGGCCTGCTGGATGTGTCTCCCCCTGGCGTGGCCATGTCCATCGGGTGTCTCAGGACACCTGCTGCCTCGCATCCCCAGGTACCTTGGCTTCTTCAGGCTCTGTTTGGGCCCTGTGTCCGCACCCTGCCCAGGACTCCACCCTGGCCTTTGCTTCCCCCTGAGCCTCTGCAGGAGGTGCCTGTTTGCAGGCATTATCGCCTGATGCGGAAGTCTTGTGTCCAGGGCAGCCAGGCAGGGCCCCAGGACAGCAGCAGGTGTGGCTCAGTGCTTGTCCTTCGGTTCTCAAGGCTCAGTGCCCACTGTTCCTGGTGCAGCACAACCATGCAGGGTGGTCATGGTGCCCTGGTCCAGGACAGTAGGAAGGACGCTCCAGCGGCAGCCCAGATAGGAGGTGGTGGAGGTGGATCTGGGTCGGATACTCTAGGGAGGCACGGGGCAGCGTGGGGTACAGGGTGATGAGAGTGCTGAGAGTGGGCTGGTCAGGAGGCCTGGGACATATCCCTAGACCCTTGTAAGCTGGCAATAAACCCAGACAGGCAGGAACTGGGTGGGAGGGTGCGGGGGGTGCCCTGCAGGCGTACGCCCTGGCTGGGTCCTGACAGAACCCGGCTATGTCTTCAGAGCTTGGCTCTGTGTCCAGCACAAGTTGAGCTGGGGCCCAGTGAGGTGAGATCACGTGTTACCCCAGGAACTGTGGGCATGGAGACAGGGTCTCCGCAGACATCATATCAACATCACAGGAGTCAGTGAGAGCCCTCATCCAGGGCCACCGATGTCCTTGTAAGAAGGCAGGGGACACTGGCAAGGAGGCCAGGTGATAGGGAGAGATTGGTCCAAACTGCTGCAGGCGAAGGACGCTGGAGACTGCCGGCCACCACAGACTCGGGACAGGTGACCAGCATGTTTGGGCTGAGTGGTAACCCCAACAGTGCCACCCAGGAAGTCCTTGCTGGGCTGGTTAGCATGATGGATGGTTTCATAGGGCTGCCCAGGCTGGTCCCAGCTCAGAGGAGGCAGCTGGCTCTCAGTGGACCTGGACATGGTGACATTCTGCTGAGCTATCTGGGTCCAGCTAGAGACCCCAAGCCAGCCTACAGAGCCCAAGACAGCATCTCGGTACAGAGGGGCCCTGCAAGGCGCTGGTCTGCAGGTTGTCAGGTGGACATGTGGCCTGGGTTATGACGTCTTAGTACATGCCCATGCACCTGCTCTGTGGCCTGTCACCTCCAGCCAGGCCAGGTAGCCTCATGGTCCCTACCCTGCTGCCACTGAATTCACCATCCACTTGCTGATATATGTATTATTTGCCTGCTCCTTGGCCAGAGGATAAATTGTGGATGCAGGTTGATGGGGGGAGTCCAATTCCACAGCCCAAGAGGTGGCAGTGCTGGTTTTCCATGGTGGGGGCTCTGCTGGGCGGGACAGTATAAGAAGTGTCCTGGGCAGCCCTCGCTGCCCCCTCTGTCCTCTGAAAGTGTGTACCTATCACTCACACACTGCAGGAACAGGTTCTGTCCACTGTGGACAGCTCTACCCAGGGCAGAGGGCTGGGCTGGGCATGTCCAGGGCCGTTGGAGAAAACCTGGGCTTCCCGGATCCCCCAGACATGGGAACCCCAGCCCCCAGGCTGGGCTGCAGGACCTGGGCATCCACTGCCTGCTGCCCCTGCTGGTGTGGGAGATGCCTGCTGCAGCCGAGGCTGGGCCCCCCTGGGCCAGGAGACAGGGCTCAGCAAGGCAGGTATACACAGGCGCTGGCTGTCCACGTGAGGTCATCTGTGGTGGCAGAAGCAGAGTGGCAGGCGGAGATGTGGCGTGGTCTCCACATCGCCCGTGCTGAGCTTCAGTGTGACCCCCTAGTCCTATCGCTGTGCCTCTGTGTGGCCCCATGAGCCAGCAGGAGTCCCCAGCCCCAAGCACCTCTGCCATGCCCTGCATGGGGGTTGGCGAGCGGTATGTGCCTGCTGTTGGCTGAGTGAAAGGGAGAGGGTGTGGTGAATGGGGGCGCAGGGCTCTAGAAGTGACAGGCTGGGGTCATGGAGCCGTGTGTTCGGGACCTCATGCCCCCCGGCAGAAGCAAATGCTAAGACCTCGCCTACAAGATGCGCGGACACCCTGGTCCTCCCCAGAGCGGCCATCTCTCATCTACACAGCCCACTGTTGCTCACTGCACTGTCTTCATGGCTCAGTGCCACTCTTCAGCCCCTGGTGCTGGTGCCAGGCACACTTTGTGGCAGGCGATGGTTTACACTGGAGGGGGTTCCTTTCCACTGGAATTCCCTGGCGTTGCCTCTGTGCTCCCGGGGTACAGGCTTCGGTGGTGGAGTGCATCTTTCTGTCCCCGGGAGACAAGAAGGGAGAGGAATGCCAGGAAAACCACTGCAGTGACACCTCGGGAGGGAACATGGCTCTTCTGTGTGCCGACACTGACCAGGGCATGGTGCATGGGTGTTCCTAGGTGTCTGGGTGGGCACAACCTGGTGACCTGCCTGGGCTGTGTGTGCCTCTGGGCACCCGCGTGCCCCTGTGTACCTGGTGTCTGCAGAGGTGTGCAGACCACACCCGTGTGTGCTCCGGCTCCTCTACCCATGAGTGCGGCGTCCACTCCCTGGCATGTGGCAAGTCCTCTGTGCCTGTGAGCACCTGGGCACTGTGTCCCCCTCTGTTGCATATGCTCTGGAACGTGGAAGGAGCCTGGACCTCCTGATGCTGATGAGCCCCACTGGGTCCCCACCTGTGGCAGGGGGGACAGTGGGCCCTCCCTGGCTCTGTGGCCTGTTTTTGACTCCCGGAACCTGCGCTATGCAGGCAGCGCACTGGCGTGGGCACTGACGCAGAGGACCACTTGGTTTGGAGCCCAGCACTTTACAGTCAGGTCCTCCCATCCAGCCCTGAATGGGGAGGGGGACGGCTCCCTCCTCCTCTGTGATCTGGCCCTTTGATTTCCGCCGGCACTGAGCTGGGGCCATGTTTAATTTCCTGTCTGCCAAGCCAAGACTGCCCGAGACCAGGGCACGTGCAGAGGCTGGTTGTGGCCGGCCCAACTCGGGCTGTGCAGCACACTCTCTACAGGGCCAGGCCTCTCGGCCCTGTTCTGTCTCCAGTGGATGCTGGGGAGGCCTCAGGCTGGGGAGCTGCCTCTGCAGCCACTCAGCTCACCACAGTTCACCTCTCTCTTGCAGGTCAGCTGGCCGCTGGCACCTGTGAGATTGTGACCCTGGACCGGGACAGCAGTCAGCCGCGGAGGACGATTGCCCGGCAGACGGCTCGCTGTGCGTGCAGGAAGGGGCAGATTGCAGGGACCACGAGGGCACGGCCCGCTTGCGTGGACGGTAAGAGCTCCGGCCGCAGGTGCCAAGCACAGGAGGGCAGAAGATGCTGGAGAGGCTCCTGAGAGGAGAACTGGCCCACGCCTTCCAACGCTGGGGCTCCAGGTTTGCCCTGGCTTGGGCTCTGTGCACAGCCTTGGCCTCGGGCTCCCACATGGGTGATTGTCCCCGTGGGCAGCGCGCCCATCTCCTCACCATGGAGGCCCCCGGGGTGCCCTGGTGGCAAGGATCCAGCTCTGGCTGTGTAGCGTTTCCGTGCCACACTCGCTGGGCATAGGACTGTGGCTGGGCCCGCTGGTCTTGCCGTAGGGGAGGGAGCACAGTGGAGGTGTCCCACCATCGTGGTCCCCAGTGCCCATGACGTCTGCTGCACGTGGCTCTGGCCAAGGCTGCCGGTGAGCATGTGGGCCTCGGTCTCTGTCCAGCTGGGTTCAGGCTCCACTGCTTTGAGTCTGGTGGTAGCATCAGGCCCTCGACTTTGGGCCCCTCAGTTCCAGCCCCTGCTGTGTTGGTGCCATGGGAGGCACTGCCCTGAACCTTGACGGGAAACAGAACCCCGGGGGTGCCTGACAGAAACTGTGGCTGGCTGCCGCCTCGAGTGTAAGCTGTGCCTGTGAAGGAGGCTGCACTGGTGGCCACGTGGGGGGACTTGGTGCTGACCAGACAGGACAGGGCTGCAGCAGCAGACCAGGAACTCCGCACCCAGTGCCGGCTGGGTCAGGCCCAGGGTGATATCAGATCAGGCATCAGAGCCAACCCCGGGCCCTGTGACTAGAGCAGGCAGGGCCCCAGGTGCCCTCTGTGCCTGGCCAGCTGCAGCAGCATGTGCCAGTCCAGGTGGCCTTGGGGTGCGGCACCCCATGCCTGGTGTGGAGCAGCCTTGGTTGAAAAAGTCTCCCAGTCCCAGGAGGATGTGAGGGAGAGTGGGCGATGCCGAGGCTTGGATTGGGAGCAAAGGTAGAGATTCCTGAGGACCAGAGTCAGGGCTGGGGTCCAAGCTGGGGATACTGGGGAGCAGTCTGGAGATAGGGATCCTCTGGGAAGGGCAGCAGCAGGGTGGTGAGTTCCCTGCCTTCGCGAGTGACGTCCGCCCCTTTCTCAGGGCTCCGGGTGCCGCAGGACCCAGATCCAAAGACCCAAATTAAAACCTCGCTGTTTTCCAGGGAGACCAAGCAAATCAGTCAGCCAGCGTGCTCTGCACTGTGGGCATTTTCCAGGCCACCGTCTGATTTAATTTCTGCTCCTGTTTCTTGCCCTATGTGAATCGTAAACTTCCCTGGATGGTGTCTGCTGCCTGCAGAAAGCTCCGGCGCCTCAGGTTGGGCCAGAGCTAGGGGCAGGCGGGTTGAGCTCGAGATGGTTTGTGCTGGCTCTGGGGACTCTGACAGTACGACAGCAAGAAGGGCTGGGGCGAGCTAGCTCTGTGGACTTGATTACTCCCTTCTCTGTGGGCTTCTTAGCTGTGCATAAATGGGCTAACCCTTCTATTCATTCGAGTAAGGCTCGTGGCTGGAGGGATGTAAGGGAGATCAGCTCTCAAAGTCCCTGACCCAGAGAACTGCAGTGCTGAGGATACTGGAGTAGAGACGCTTCCTGACTGACCTTGGCACGGGGTACATTTAAGTGGGGTACTGAGGGATAAAGAGGAGCTCACCAGAAAAGCTTCTCTTGTGGAAGAAGGGTACAGGCACTTCCTGGGCTTTAACCTCCATGGCCTTGTCTCTGGCCTGGAGCATTTTGGGTCACCAGTCCCCAGCAGTGTGTGTGAGTCCATCCAGCTGACAATTGTCAGGGAAAGCAAGCTGGAAGCAAGCCAGCCTGGCTCACACCTTGCCTGCCGGTTACCTCAGGATGGACCAAGGACAGAGATCTTAAGACCCAAAGCTGTCAGCCTCCAAGCAGGAGCAGCCAGATCTCCGTGAGCTTGTGTCTAGGGAAGACACTCAGCTGTGAGCCCGAAAGGAAAGCGGATGCACTGGGCTTTATCCAAACAGGAAGCAGAGCAGCATCCGCGCAGACCTGAAAGCTGGCGGGGTCCGTGGCACGGGGCAGATCCAGCCCGGCTGCTCCACAAGGGTCTGGACAGGGACGGCACAGGACGGAGGGAGAGGATGCTGGTGCCCACACAGAGCAGGCTGGGGAGTTCAGGCCCACACGGGCCGTGACAGCCTGGGAGTGGGCACATTGCGCCCGGTGCCCATGCAGTGTGTCTCCCGAGCCCCACACCTGCTGGCCACACTGTGCACCACCCAAGGACCTGTGTGAGGGGAGCCACGTGCTGACCACAGTGACATGAGAGGCACAGGAAGCACAAACCTAGAGAAGGGAGGGGCTGGGGCTGCCAGCGCCGGGCATGTAGGTATAAGACCTGGATGCCCTTCCAGGTGCTGGAAAAGTCTTCTGAAAACCACCCGTCTGCACTCACACGTCTTTGGGCAGGTGCTGCAGGGACCAGCTCTGGAGGGGCTGTGCCAAGACCCCACATCACCCCCACTGCCTCCTCTGTGCGTGGAGTCTGGGGCAGGGCGGGCTACTGAAGGTCTCTTTCAGTTAACATCAGGGTAGTTTCCAGCATTGCATTGTGGCCCCCAGCTCTGCTGTGGGTCTCCCCGCCCCAGGACCCCTGCAGATGTACCACGTGGGCCACTCCAGGTACCTGCATGAGCAACGGGGGGACCTGCCACACGCTGCCCCAGAGAGGACAAGACTCAGCTTGCACAGCCTCTGCAGCCCAGGTCTCTCTGCTCCGGTGTCCACACCCAGGAGACAGAGGCTGACATGACTACTAGGAGAGAGCAGGAATCCTCCATATCAAGGCATACGACAGCTGTTTACCAACATAGTAGGTAACGGAGATGAGACGGGCGTCATGCTGGAAAGAGACAGCCAGAACTGACACAGGAAGAAGCTGAGAGTCTGCGTAGTCCTGTGATGGGAAGCGCCCTGGGTCATCAGAGCTTCCAAGGAGCAGATGGCTCCCCTGAGGAATTGGACTACACACTTAAAAATCTAACCCCAGTCCTCCTCGGAGTTTTCCAGGCATGGAAGAGTGGGGAGCACCTCTCGGAGAGCCCAGGCTGTGAGGTTGGGGTTGCCCCAGTACCAGAGATGTCAGCAAAGACCACCAGAAAACTTCAGCAAAATCCTATAGTGGAAGAGAAGGGCCGCACACCAGGGCTGGGTGGACTTTGTCCGACAGTCAACCACTGTGACATGCTTTGCTAGAAACCAGGAAGAGAAGAGAACGCCCTCAGAGCGACGCAGAGCGTGAGCTCTGTGCGTGTGGAAGGGGAGACGGGCACATCGTCTGTTGAATCAGGAGCATGACAGGTGCTGCTGACTGGGACCTCAGTCCCCTGGGCTGCCAGGAAGGAGAGGGACACCTCACCCTGATGTATCGATGACGTGCATCATGCCCTCTGCGCTCCGATGTAATACCACCAACTCCCTCAGCTTCGCTTTCAATCAGGAGCGAGCATAATGAGCATCTCTGAGAAGAGACAGCTGTGGCGAGGCTTTGACGCAATTCTCTCCAGGAAACCAAGAACTGACAGCCCCGGCGTGCGGTGGCAGCCCCTGTGGGGACACTCCCATCACCCTAGGAAGAGTGAGTGAAGATGGGGAGCACTGAGATGCTTCTGCCCCACTCCACACCTGGCACAGGGCATACGAGGGTCCTTGTATCAGGGGAGCAAGGTCCTGCTACCGCGTCCCAGTCCCTGTGAGAGTGCTCAGCAGCTGCCCCAGCTCTCGCGGTGGATGAGCATGGTGACAGCCGCGGCCTCGGAGGCAGCCACAGATGGCAGAGTGTGGTGCGTGCTCAATGAGGCTGGCGCACGCAGGTTCACATGGTGCCAGCTTCTGCCCCGGGGCTGCCGGTGTGTTGCTTCCGAGTGGTTTCCCAAATGTGGGCTGAGGGAAGCATGGCTGTCGCTGTGGGGATGGTGCACACCAGGAAGCACCAGCCGGCCAGGTGCCACTCAGAAAGCCACTGTCCCTCCCGCAAATGCATCTGCAGCTCTGAGCGGCTCCAGACCTGTTATCCATATACAAGGAGAAAAAAACGCTTGGAGATTCAGGGAGACGTGGGGGGGGGCATGACGTGGCGTGAAGGACTGGGGTGCCCTGGGGACTCAGGGCACGGTGACAAGAGCCCCAGAGGAGGGGTCACAGCATCCAGGACAGTGTGGCATCTGAGCCCATCATCCTCAGTCAGGTGGTGTTTGGGAGCCCTGCTCAGGGAGGGCACCTCCCAGCCCACAAGCCTGGGGCTGTGCCCCATGCCTGCAGAGGACGTAGGCAGCAGCCTGCTGGTGAGCACATCCACCGCCCAGCGTGTTAGCCACGGCCTCTGTCTCTCACCAGGCTTTGGATGAATGGGGAGTTGAACCCCAGCAGCTGGAATCCAGCCATGGGACTCCAAATCTTGTGGACCAGCTGTGAGGGAGAAATTTGCTGCCTGACCCACTGTCCTGGCCTCTCTAGGAGAGGACAGAGGGACCTGGGCTGTGTCCACCCGGTCCACAGCCCCTGCCTGAGGAGCCGAGTGAGGTGGTGAGTGAGGGTGGATGGGACGCCAAGCCAGGGAGCCTCCCAGGAGGCAGCAGTGTCCTCCCAGCAGGAGGCAGCAGTGTTTCCGTGCTGTCCCTCTTCCGTGCTATTTCCGAGCCCTGCGGTAAGTGGGAAGGCTCTCAGCCTGGTGGCTGGCAAAGGGCTCTGCTGTGCATTGCCCGAGGGCCAGGACCTGCCACCTGCAGCTGTGCCCTCCGCTGTGCATAGCACGCACCGCTCAGTAGAGGGAAAACCCCACGGTGTCTTTGACGCTGCTCAGCATCTCGGTCTGGTTTAAATGACTGATGACAAATGAACCACAGCCAGGGCTGGTGTAGACGAACAGTCTCATTTGATCTCATTGCTGTGTTGATCAGAGGTTTTAAAGTGGGCAAAGGCCTGGCCCGACCTCCTCCCAGCCCTGGCCACTGTGAAGCTGCCTGGGGAGGGCA